TTCCTGAAGCTTAATTTAACCCTCTTGGACCTTCTTGAAGCTTCATAACATCCTTTGATGAAAATTACATGGCTTTAAAAATATTTACAATTTGAAATACAATGAAAAAAATTAAATTACATCATTAAACTTTCAAACGGCTAAATCAAAGCCTTAATTACATTCATCCAAAGATAAAATTACATTCAATATTCCTATAAGTTTCATCCATGGCCCAAAACACATATCATCATCCATTCACAATTATACATACATCATCATGTATCAATATATATCAATATATTAATTCATACATCAACATACATCAATAAATAAATATATGCATATCAAAATTGGATCCATGAATGATGAATTTTCATAAAATCATGATCTCTAGTAATGAATCAAATCATGCTCTGATACCACTGTTAGGAAACGTGCTAGTTTTAAAAACTTTTCGAGGGATTTAAATTCATAGATCTTGATTCATTACATAGAGACAAGTTTTATGCAAAAATAAAACATGATGTATCATTCAATTAAAAGATTGAATACTTACATCAAGGTTTGAGTAAACCTTAGATCTCTCCTCTAAAGTGAATGTTCTCACTTATTGTAGATTCCTTAGCAAGATGTATTCTTCTTGGATCTCCATCTTCTTGGTAATTGTTTTGCCTTTAGGAATCACTCATATGCCTCCATGAATGACCTTGGAAAACTAGGCTTGTGGGAGCCTCCATTAGATGAGAACATAAACCCTAATTTTCTAGAGAGAGAAAATATATTCCTTTTTCCTTCTTCTAAAAATCACACCTAAAATATACATAAACCATGTATATTTATAGGCAACATAAAGGTAAAGAAAAGGAAACAACTAATCCTTCTCCATCTCTAATTCACATGTCTCAAATCTAATATGATTCCAATATCAAGTTGGACTATGAGTGAGAATCCATTGGGCTTATTATTTTATTGGCTACAATGAATTAATAATTGGCCCGGTCCATGGACCCAATTCAATTAATTCATAAATTAATTTTTACTCCACTAAAAGAAATTAATTGAACTCCAATTAAATAATAAATAACCTCTAAGTCAATATTGCACTTTGACCCCTCTATGCATAATTAGTTATCGGATAAATAAAGCCATCAATTCGACTACTTAATTAATATATTTATTTTGGTACCTTTGATTATTTCTGACTCGATCACAATAAAACATTTGTTTGACAAAAATAATAATTTAAATAAATAAATAAATATATAATAAATCATTTTGTTTAAAAATACACGAAGGCCTTCGAATTTACTTTGTGATCAACCATAATCAATACAAAATAAATACAAGTAGCAATGATGCAAATATTGAAAATATAACCCTCTAACTATTAATTACATAACTACCCAAAGTGTCGGTCTAAGGATCCCGAAGAATCCGCCGAACAAATCAAAGTAATTATTAATTAATAAAAGAGTCTATAATTTTCTCATACTTAAGAGTCAAATGCCATGACGGTGATAGGGAGCAATTGCATACGACAGCTCTCGCAATATATCTCAACCTAACGCGGATCTAGTTCAAATCTTAATTAATTATGAATCCATCCATAATTACCGACTATGAACCATTTATGATTACTATTTATACATCATGCATTGATTGCCATCACAAACATATATATAAATATCTCTTGTAATCAAATGGACACTATCAATTCTATAATGAATCGAAATATAATACATTGAATTCACCAATTGTATAAAATATAAATATTTCATAAACGTCAGGAACATATGTCACTTTAATTTAAACAGGAATTTGCTATGCCAGGGCATATAAATCCCAACATGAAGAACATTATATAGTCCGCAGATTGGATCTTGCCTCTCTCATTCTACCTCTCTCGCTTTTTCTACCCATCTTTCTTTCAACATTTATTATCTAACTCTATTTCAAAGCATACCCAGAAAGTCAATATTTTTTGTTGAAGCGCATAACTCAAGGCCTATTTTGGCTAAAGGTATGTTTCAATATATATTTTGTGTTATTTATATTTTTGTTTTTGAGGAAACAGTGTTTGAAAAAGTTTTTCCTATTATGTTTCTTAATTATCTGAAGTTTGTTGCCCATAATCCAAATTCATTATGGTGTTCTCATTCTCTTATTGTGCTAATATGCTTCTTGTTTAATATATGTGTGTGTTTATATATGCTATACCATCTCAAGAATACAGATCATGAATTCCCTATCATGTATGCCCTCGCTTAAGAGTTTTACTTATATATATATATATTATCACTTGAACAAGAATGAGAGACAAATTTCCTTTTTTTTTTTCAAAAAAAAAGAAAAAGAAAAGAAACAAATAAACAACCGGTAGTTTTAAAGTACAATTGATTCCTTATTCATTTCTAAACCTTGAGGTAGATTATACTATAAAATACAATTCATTTAATTAAAAATCATTTTAATATATATGACTTTTCATTAGAGTTGTCTTAAAGAGTTGTTGAACACTTTTTTCCTTTTCTTTTTATTTTTTATTTTTTTATTATACACTATAGTTTTATATATTTAATTTAAAACCCAGAGATGTTGGACATAAAATTTTCCTTTTAAAAGAAAAACAGCTTTTTTTTTTTTTAATTAGTTCATTGTTCCGTTCTAAACGTTCATGTCATCACATGAACTCTCTTTATCTTTTCTTAAAACCATTTCTATATTCCTCCAAAATCTAAATAAAGTCTAACAAGATGCACTTGGAATCGTTGTTATAATCAAAAGGTCAAAAATGTATAAAAAATCAACGTTAATTATTCATATTACTGATTTGTAATTTACTTATCAAAAAATATATATTATTGATTTCTTATTTAATTTTTTTTTTTTTTAAGTATTATTGATTTCTTGTTACTATATATATTTGTGTGCTTATAGGAAGCATTCACTTTTCTTGATATATAAAATATAAATAACTACAAAAAAACCTAAATGTTAATCAATTTAGTAGATGTTGCTACTGTAATACTATCATGATGTATTATGTTTGTTTTTTTTCACTGACACTTTTTATTTCTCTATTTTCTTTTGTCACTCTTTTACAAAAATAGCCATTTATTTTTATTCTTAAAAAGTATCATATCTCATTTCAATCAACAAAATCCTTTATTCCTGATTTTTTTATTTTGTGGGTCATTTAATACACTACTTAAGTGATACAAATTTATACCTATTTTTATTTCTGAGTGTTCTGATTTCATTTTCTTAATTTCAACTTATCATTTTCTTTTCCATATCATTAATGATTAACTTTGGCATTTTTTTCCTAGAATTTTCGTCAATTATCTTAAATTACTTTATACTTACTTATTATGTGAAACAATTCAATGAAATTACTTTATGCTTACTGATTATGTGAAACAATTCAATGAGACACGAAAGTTTCGTAAATCTCATTATATGCATGAACCTTAAATCTATCATTTTTTTAAATACTAACCTGATTATGTTTATATCATTGACGTATGCGAGTTGAACAAAATATAATGCTAATTTCAAATAAAAGGGGACAAAATTTACAAGTGAGTGAAAATTTTATACTTTACAATTTAGTTTTATATCTCGCTTTTAATTAATAAAAATTCTTCTATTATGTTGGCTTATGTGTAAAAAAAAATTTGTGCATTAAATATTAATTAAAGCATTTATTAGGGTCTTGAATAATTTATTTTCCCTTAAAAAAATATATCATCATCATTGCATGGTCTTTAGAAATTAAATGCGTTATCTGGAGCGATTACTCTTTACGCCTTCTCCTGATAAGCCAGGGAAGCAAGGAGTCACAAATCACTCTCTAGAACTGAACTTTACAAGCTCTATTTCTTTTTTCTTTTTCTTTTTTCTTTTTTTCGAAAGGTAAGATATATTGATAATGCAACTATACACTAGACAAGCCTAAGGCTATCAAAACATTGGCCCAAGCCCATCAAAAGTCACCAAAGTTGAACAAAGACAATGATAGTCTACAAAACCCTAGACTAAGCTTGTCTACGCCAACAAAAGAATACAATCCAGTTCGGAACAATGACTGAGAGAAGCTAAGCCGCTAAGCACGTTCCTCCTGTAATCAATCCGGTGGCTCCGCCAGTGGTCTGATGAAGGCTCCGGGGAGTCCCCAATCGACGACTACTCTCCGAGCCGTTGCAAAGTCCTTCATTTTCATAAAGAAAAGGCGTTGTTTGACCATGTCCATCGTCTCCTTGAGGATCTGTGATTGTGATTTCCTCTTCCTTTTGAAAGCTCAATTATTTCGTTCAGTCCAGATCCTATTGATGAAGGTGGAGAGGGTAAGTTTGTTGATTGAGTTCTGTAGATTCCTCTGCTTCCAACGGCATGATTCCCAGAGAATGAAATCTATCCAAGATGGAGGGGTTTGAAATCGACACTTCATTTTGAAGAAGGTCCAAATTGGAAATGAAAATGGGCAGGAAAAAAACAGATGTTCATGCAATTCCGGACAAAAAGAGACTAAGATGGCAGAGGCCGGCGCCAGGTACTGACTGCATATAATTCCAATCAAGGGTAGATAACCGGCCCTGCACAGCAAGCCAGAGAGAAAACTTGCACCGAGGAATGGAGAAATTGTTCTAGACCAGGTGGTGCCGAGTTACCGGTAAGAAGTGAGGAGTAAGCCATCCAATTGTGAATTTGAGAGAAAAGGTTCCGTCCTGTTATAGGATCCAAAGATGTTCATCAGCTGAAGTGGAAGCTGGATCGATCAACAAGAGCTCCGAAAATTGAAGAATGCATTCTTCTAGAAAGTCCCAGACACCATTTGTCACAAGTGTGGAGAGCTTGTCCTTGCAAATTGGTGAGTTTCTGATGAAATCCATCGTGGTGCGTAGAGTAAGTGGACCATTAGGAAGCCAATTGTCATCCCAAAAGTCTGTCGAAGCCCCATTCCCAACTTTGACCCAGATCATCGACCTAACCACCCCTCTTAGGTGTAACAACTTCCTTCAATTGCCTGAGCAGGCTTGAGGGATGTTCAAAGTCCAGAGACAACGATCCCTAACAAGCTGAGCCCTTATCCATCTAGCCCAGATATTATCCCTGTGCATAGCAATGACATTCCACAGATGCTTCAGACAAGCTGCAGTGTTAGCAACCTCCAAGTTCCTGAACCCCAAACCTCCATAAACTTTAGGTCGGCAGACATTAGCCCATGTGACTCTGGCCCCTGTGTACTTAAGTTCATTCCCTGACCATAGGAAATTCCGAAGTAAACAATTGATTTCATTAATGACCGATTTTGGGAGAATGAATAAGTTAATCCAATAGTTTATTACGTTGAAAAGAACTGATTGAATGAGTTGTAATCAGCCTGCATATGATAAAAGGCTTGATGACCAGTGAGTGATTCGCCTAGTGATTTTCTCTACCAACCCCCTACAGTGGATAGCTTTAAGTGATGTAGATATAAGAGGAACACCTAGATATTTGAATGGAAACTCTCCTCGATCAAAGCCCAATAGTGTCCCAATATCATTAGCCATGTCTAAGCTAACTCTAGAAACAAAGAAGTTACTCTTTGATGGATTGATGCATAGCCCAGAAAGTGCAGAGAAGTGATCCAGTGATCTCTTAAGTGTGTCAATGGAGGCAAGATCCCCATAGGAGAAGAGTAGAAGGTCATCAGCGAATATTAGGTGAGATATACCCAACCCTCGACATCTGGAGTGATATTTGAATTGGGAATTGTCAGTGATGTGCTTCTTAGTGATGGAGGTGAATACTTCCATAGCAATTACAAAGAGTAGAGGAGAGATAGGGTCCCCTTGTCTCAACCCCCTAACCCCTGAGACGTGCCCTTGAAATTCCCCATTAATTGAAATAGTGAATGAGGGGGAGGTAATGCATCAGTAGGTTCTTCAGAGCTTACTTATAGCCATCATCCCTTATCAATGAATATGAATAAGACTGCTCGTATGGGTCCGTTTTTTAATAGTGTAAGTAGTAAGCTGTGGCTTTTCCCTCTTTGTGGAAATCTCTCATATTTTTTTTTACATTATCATATTTATGATTTTTTTCATATGGATTTTCAACCAAATCAAAACATACTAGAAGGGTTAGCTTTATGTTGACTCGATATAAGGCCTAGATCCCATGGTTCCCTTTTTGGAGTGCCTTTGTCAATTCCATCATGGATGAGATTCGATCTATAAGCAGCCTATACCGTTCAATTATTAGACACGTAGATTTTTTTATGAAAACACAAGCTTAATATATTTTATATATACTACCATTAGATGTAACAAGATCATCTTTTCCATCTATCTTGTGCTGCTCTCTATAAAGCACAGTTTGTGCTTCCCTTTACTCGCAACTGAGCTAACAATGGTATCATACCAAAAAGTAAATTGTAATTGTAATGGGGATTCAAAATTATCTCCTCATAGCCCTACTCAGCCTTGCAAGTGAGTGACAAGTAATGCAACATTTCCATGGAGAAATAGCATTTCTTTGTGGATCAAATTTCTCAAACCTCTAATTTTTTGGAAGGGTATAAAACTTCAAATTCATCTTTTTTCGACTGGATCTTTTGAGTAACCAAACAGATTATTAGTGTTCAAGGTTTAGTTGACACGGGGACATTATTTAATTTATTTTTCTTGATATCGTATGTGAATTGGGTTGCAAATTTAATTTGTTCCTGTTCTATTTCGTTTTTTTTCTTATGTTTCTTATCTTTTTGTTAAGAACCTACAATCAATAGAATCTCTAGAAAGGCCATACATTCTTTTTGAAAAAATTAATGTATAAAATTCCAATTTATGACTTTTCTCAGCTCTTCTTAGCAGCAAATTAATAGAGAGTATTAGTGATCATAATTTAGTTGACACGGATATATTTATTTTTCTTAATAGTGTATGTAAACTAGGTTACAAATTTAAACCTTCAGTAACAATATTTAAAATATTTGAAACAAATCTCCACTTAAAAAGGAAACGGTCAATCTCTCGAGAACGCACTATCACCAAATTCATTCTTCTAAAGTCACGTATCAATTGGTATTTCCCATAATGTTTGATTCATTTTATTTTAAAGTAAAAAAATATACTATTTTTTTATGTGGACGCGTAGAACACATATTACATTATCAGTTTAATTTGCTTGAAATTATGTAATCCTAGACACTAGGAAACCATCACTATTTTTGAAAGATTGTATTGGTTTAATAAAAAAGGGCAGTGTGAATATGTGTATTTGAGGGGGAAAAAAAAAATTCCTTTTTTTTTTGCATGCTTTGACAACAAATTTATGATTTTTTATTTTTATTTTGTTGACTATTCCTTTTTTTTTTTTGCATGCTTTGACAACAAATTTATGATTTTTTATTTTTATTTTGTTGACTATGTATATTGTACCACCTCTTCATTTCTTAATTAACTTTATATGCAATACTTTTGTAATGATACAACTCTCATTCAGTTTAATTAATTTATTTATATATACATATTAGTTTTAATTACGTGCAATTGCACGTACGATTTTCTAGTACCTTATAAAAGTGTATTCAATTTATAATATTTATATACATTTTAAAATACTTAATTTTTATTATTACGTGCCTTTTCAGGTTTTACGTTGTTATATACCTTTTGATTTCTAATGGTTGCCCCATTTAAGATTTCAACACAATACTACTCAGGTTTTCAATTTACGTTGTTATACCACCTTTTGATTTTTAAAGGTTGCAAAGGTTAGGAATTCAACGGTTTTTTATATTCCTTGTCAATACACTTTTTTCTGATAAGAAAAATAAAAATTTAGAAAAATAGTCTTCTTAACTACTTAGCACCTGTTTGCAAAAGAAAGAAAAAGAAAAAAAGAAAAAATAAAACAAAGCAAAACTCCAGACACGTTTTCTGTTTTATGTACTTTGCTTAGTATAAGTGTCTTCTTTTATAAAGAATTTCTTTCAAATTAAAACACTTCTTATATTACAAATCTTTTCTTTCATAAAGAGTTACTTATCAGTTAAAACATATCAACTTTCAATTTAAATTATTTTGTATTTATTTTTTTTATACATAAAAAAAGATACGTGCTTTGCTTCCTCAAAACTATTTGAAAGTATATGTCGATTCAATCATATAAAAAAGGTAGACTAAATTACTATCTCGCTCTCTCTCTCTCTTTCCATCTTTTTATGTAAAAATTCTTGTGCAAAAAATTATTAAATGTTTTATTCACGGTCATGTACCTTTGAAAACCCTTTTGTTGGAGACACATCTTTGATTAGTGTACATCAAATTGGCTTTGAAGAATGTTAAGGCAAAAACTTCTTATAGTTCAACAGATATATCCTTTCATGAATAGGTGTATAATATTTTATAAATATTATGTTGTTATATACCTTTTGATTTCTAATGGTTGCCCCGTTTAAGATTTCAACACAATACTACTCAGGTTTTCAATTTACGTTGTTACACCACCTTTTGATTTTTAAAGGTTGCAAAGGTTAGGAATTCAACGGTTTTTTATATTCCTTGTCAATACACTTTTTTTTAATAAGAAAAATAAAATTTTAGAAAAATAGTCTTCTTAACTACTTAGCACCTGTTTGCAAAAGAAAGAAAAAGAAAAAAAGAAAAAATAAAACAAAGCAAAACTCCAGACACGTTTTCTGTTTTATGTACTTTGCTTAGTATAAGTGTCTTCTTTTATAAAGAATTTCTTTCAAATTAAAACACTTCTTATATTACAAATCTTTTCTTTCATAAAGAGTTACTTATCAGTTAAAACATATCAACTTTCAATTTAAATTATTTTGTATTTATTTTTTTTATACATAAAAAAAGATACGTGCTTTTGCTTCCTCAAAACTATTTGAAAGTATATGTCGATTCAATCATATAAAAAAGGTAGACTAAATTACTATCTCGCTCTCTCTCTCTCTTTCCATCTTTTTATGTAAAAATTCTTGTGCAAAAAATTATTAAATGTTTTATTCACGGTCACGTACCTTTGAAAACCCTTTTGTTGGAGACACATCTTTGATTAGTGTACATCAAATTGGCTTTGAAGAATGTTAAGGCAAAAACTTCTTATAGTTCAACAGATATATCCTTTCATGAATAGGTGTATAATATTTTATAAATATTATGTTGTTATATACCTTTTGATTTCTAATGGTTGCCCCATTTAAGATTTCAACACAATACTACTCAGGTTTTCAATTTACGTTGTTATACCACCTTTTGATTTTTAAAGGTTGCACAACTTAGGAATTCAACGGTTTTTTATATTCCTTGTCAATACACTTTTTTCTAATAAGAAAAATAAAAATTTAGAAAAATAGTCTTCTTAACTACTTAGCACCTGTTTGCAAAAGAAAGAAAAAGAAAAAAAGAAAAAATAAAACAAAGCAAAACTCCAGACACGTTTTCTGTTTTATGTACTTTGCTTAGTATAAGTGTCTTCTTTTATAAAGAATTTCTTTCAAATTAAAACACTTCTTATATTACAAATCTTTTCTTTCATAAAGAGTTACTTACCGGTTAAAACATATCAACTTTCAATTTAAATTATTTTGTATTTATTTTTTTTATACATAAAAAAAGGTACGTGCTTTGCTTCCTCAAAACTATTTGAAATATATGTCAATTCAATCATATAAAAAAGGTAGACTAAATTACTATCTTGCTCTCTCTCTCTCTTTCAATCTTTTTATGTAAAAATTCTTATGCAAAAAATTATTAAATGTTTTATTCACGGTCACGTACCTTTGAAAACCCTTTTGTTGGAGACACATCTTTGATTAGTGTACATCAAATTGGCTTTGAAGAATGTTAAGGCAAAACCTTCTTATAGTTCAGCAGATATATCCTTTTATGAATAGGTGTATAATATTCTATAAATAGCATAGTAATTCAATGAGTAAAATATAAGTTTTACATCTTCCTCTTTATTTATTTTTTGCAACAAATATACCATCTCATTATATAATATCATTTCATGAATAGGTGTGTAATATTCTATAAATAGCATAGTAATTCAATAAGTAAAATATAAGTTTTACATCTTCCTCTTTGTTTATTTTTTGCAACCGATATACCATCTCATTATACATATATATATATATATATATATATATATATATGCAACATTATAATGAAAGACTTGATAAATGTTCTTCAGTGAACGTGACAATCTTGGAGCCTTTCATAGTCATGACTCTCCAACAGGTCAAAAGTTTCTTACTCTCTTTTATGTTAATATGCTTTTATTGATATTTTACTGGACTGTTATTATTTTATAATGCTTTATTTATACTATTTATATGCTGCTATGACTAAGTGTTTTGGTCCAACTACATTATGATCATGTTTAATTGAAATTTTTTCATTCTCTGGGTATATAATGTGTTTATTGTTGTGTATGGGTTCCTTTAATTTCTACATAATTCTGTATTCCTTTCCTGTTTAATTTTTTTAAGAGATGAGAAATTAACAAACTCTTTATAGTTACATTTAGAATAAAATGACATTTAGTTATTTAGGGAAAAAAAAAAAAATGGCATTTAGTTCAACCAGTTTAATATTGTTTTATTCGTAATATGTGTATTACATATACATATATGTGTGTGTGTATATCATCATAAAAAAATCGTATTACTTCAAATACGATTTCTATTTACTTCAAATGATTTAAAAAAAAAAAAAAAATCATGGATATCATCTTCCATTAATGAATTATTATTATTATTTTTTTGGGATAATTTCACTGACACCCCCAC